GACAGCAAAAAAAATAATCCCAGTTGGCCACTGATCATTTTTAGGCTCACCGAGCAGTTCATTAATTTTTTTTTATTTTTTTTATCCTTTAACTTTTATTATAAATACAAACATATTTTTATACTTTAATTTTGTTGTTTTCTCTTTTGATTTTTTTAATTAAATTTTTTTAGATATTTTTAATTTAATAAAATAAAAGTACTATTTGATATATTATTATTAATTATTAATTATTTATTAACATAATTATTATTTACTATAAAATAATTAAATAAATTTTCAATTATTTATTAATTTTATAAATATTAATAATTTAAAATTTTTATTATATACAAATTTTAATTTAATATTTTTAATAATTATTTTTAATTTCTTTGGTATAGCTGTTTTTATTTTTAAATATTCATTTCACCATTAATTTTAATCTTACTATTATAATAACTAATTTTACGTTTACTATTATTTTTAATCTCACTAGAATTAATGTCATCGTCCATCAAAATGGGTCCTTATACTAATTATGTAGTATCACCATATTGATAATATATAACAAAATAATTAATTAATAAATATAAATATAAAAATTCAAAAGTTTTTTTCTACCTTTTGAACTTATTTCAAATCCATTCATCTATGATTACCCCATTAAAATTTGAATGAAACATGAGGTTGGACATGTATATGACAAGTTTCATCCAAATTTAACAGTATGTTGATGGAAGGATGGATTTAGAACAAATTGAAAATAAAAAAGATTTTGATAAATTCTTTGGATTAAGGCCTTATTTGATAAACTAATAAAATTTTTCATTATGTTGAAAATAAAAATTTTCAGTACTTATTTTTTTTCAATGCGTTTCGTAACACATTTTAAAATTCAATTAAAAGAATTTTTTCAAGAAAAAAAGTACTTATCAAATTCAGTACTTATTTAAATTCTATTATAATTTAAATTTAATTATAATTTAAATTCAATACTTATCAAATTTTAGTACTTAATTTTTTAACGCTTAATTTTTTAGTTTATCAACAGAACCTAAGGGTTTGTTTGATAATGAATTGAAATTTTCAATGCATTTAAAAAGATAATTTTCAACAGTTTAATTTTTCAATATATTTTATAACTCATCTTAATAGAAAATTTTCAACAAAAAAATTGTTGAATTGAATGAAAAGCTACTTATTACTTAATGCAGAATATATTCTGCAAATTTTATTTAAAAATTTATATTTGAATTAAATTATCTATTTTAAAATTTACCCAAAACTATTCATTTTTAAAAGTAAACATTTACGGTTATCATAACTATATTTAGTACATATTTTTTAGTAACATATCAAAAAAATTTTGTAATACAAATTCAGGCTCTATTTGTTTGCAGAAAATAATTTTCGAAAAATGATTTCTTAAAAATGTTTTTATTTTCTGAATTAAAAGAGATTTTCTTTTGTTTAGATAAATTAATGAAAAATGTTTTCCATTATCGGTTGTCTTTTGAAAATTTTGTTTTTTTTTTTCCAAATAATATTAATATAACTATTAAAATATTAAAAATTATTTTTATTAAAATATATTAAAATTTTTTACCATTAAAATTATTAATATTAAAAAAATTATATTTTAATAATAATATTTAATATTAAAATACTATGTTAATATAAAAATACTTAAAATAAAACTATTTATTATTCTTTATATTATTTATTAATATATTATTATAATATTTATTAATTAAATTAATAATATTTTATTATATTATTTACTAATATAATATTATTATTTATTAATTTTATTTATTAATATATATTATTTATATATATAATTTTATTTATTAATATAATATTTTTTATAAGGTAAATTATGCTCAAAAGTAATGATAAATAGTTATACTTATAGACAATTTTTTTTTAAATGTATTCTCTTTTTAAATCTATAAGATAATTTTAAAAAATATAATCTTATTTTTCATTGATCCAAAAATTATTTTTTATTAATCAATCAATTTTTCACTAAATAAATACTTAAAAATATAAAAATTATTTTTCAAAAATCATTTTTTACAAAACAAATGGAGTTTCAATGCTTATTTATGTTTCCTTTGATTCATGTTTCAATATCATTAAAAAAATCACAAAAAAAAAAAAAAAGAAAGTTCATAGAAAGTGAAGATTTTTGTTATAATTGAAATATGAAATAGCTTAAAGAAAATTTGTGCACAAGAACATTCATCCATTCATTCATTGGTTCGTTCGTTCATGTCACCAAATGGCTCATCTCGTTCAGTTTTTTAGCAGATTGATTAAAACCGGTTAGCACTCCCCTTTTTTACAAGCATCTGGTCCCCCGCCCTATTTCCCTGTCTCTAGATAGGGCCTTTCTTTTTTAGCTTAATGGTCCCCCTTTTCCCTCAAATTGCTTCCACAAATAAGATGGCCTACATTTGATTTAGGTTACCACATTAAGTGGGAACTCATCATCATATGTTATAATTGCTAACTATATTTCATTAAGATTCGATTTGATATCAACCAAATCTAATTCAATCTACTATAATAATAATAATAATAATAATAATAATAATTAGGTAATACATCCTACTTTGCTATGAAAGCATAACTAAATTTTTGAAGAGCGAGTTTTTTTTTTTGTTAGTATTGCATTTGTGGTTAATTTTTTTTTTTTGATAATCAATTCACGGCAACGAAGGGGAAAGTTTATTTTGTTTGGTATTGAATTGGTGGCTAAATTCAACTAATTTAATTTATGAAAAATATATATCAAAAATAAGTTTTGAAAGTATTATATTATTTTATGAATTTTAATATATGTGAATATCAATATAATTATATTTAATTAATAATAATACTTTTATCAATAATGATAACTTTAATAATAAAATAAAATTGAAATTAAAATTAAATATATTAAAAATAATCATACATAAATTACATAATTTATATTTTAAGAATCTTTGTAAGCGTAATTGATATATTTTTATTCTTTTAAATATTTATATTTTATTAATAATTAACATGCTTATATTAATAGTTATCATTGTCAAAATTTAACTACTAGATACAACAAAAAAATTTATCATTAATTTTTTTCATTTAAATGCAATTGATTACATATTTGAATTTATTTTCTTTAAAAAAACTCCTAAAGTTAACTCAAATTCTTTAAAAAAATTATATAAGTTTACGAAATTAAAGTTAAATATGAGATCTAATTATATGTAAAAAAAATTATAATATTTTTATGATGTTCATCTAAAAAATAATATCAATTAATTTTTTATTATTCAAAATCTTAAATATTTTAAACAAAATTCTCCAAAACTTTTTATTTTTCAAAAATTTAAATATCTTTGGGTACCCTATCTATCAATTTACATCAGCTACTACGTACAATTAATGCATTCTTCTATCTTCAAATTATGAGTTTTTTTTTTTTTTTAAATCATGATTGCCTTTATAGCTTACAAATGGCACTTAGATGGTAGACTTAGAAAAGTTTGTAATGAGATATTCATCTTCAAAGTATTAGCCAATAAACAAAATAATTATTATTTTATAATGGGAAAATGGAGTTAATTTGAACTTTGAAAAGCAAATATTTTTAATAATTGACTTGCAACGCCTGATGGCCATCAGCTGAAGTCAACGTGAATTAGATGATAATATTAAAACCCCAACCCTTAACCCACCAATTGGGACGGAATTCACCAACATTTCTTATTGACATCATCGGATAAATATTTTACTTGAAATATTTTACTTTATGAATAAATAATAATTTTTTTGTTAAATAGGATAAATAATTAAATGATACAAATTTTGTAATAAGTAACATTATGGGGTAGTTTAAAAATAAAAAAAAAATTATACATAATGGGATTTGAGGAGCAGGTGCAACAAACAATAGTATTGCTAAATTAATATTAAAAAAAAAAAAGTTGTAGAGAGGTACAGTGAACCCGGCACCAAGGCCATTAATTAGTTTTGAGGGATAGGGTTGTCGTTTAAGATCTCCTTGGAGAATATAAAACAACTGTATCAAGATTTGTTCAACATTTTTTTAATGGCCACCTAAAGTTAGGTCTTGAGATAATTGGATACCCTCAGAAAGTTGATCAAGTTTTAATTGGATAGAAGCAAACCGTTGATTTTTATTTACGACATGATTGCAAGATACAGGGCTTTTCTTTCGATGAACTTTTTCCAACTAAAATAAAAAAGATAAGCTCATAATTTTAATAATCAAAATTCATCCTTAATAATTTTAAATACGAAAATAAAACCCACCATTTTGACCGTCCGAATAAGAAAATTCTTAATGTGTAGGTCAACTCTAAATGAAATTATATAAATACATTTTTTGGATTTTTTTAAATTAGTTTATAAATAAATATGGTAGGCCATTTCATTAAATCTAAATGTTTGATAAGCTGAACAGCCAATTGGCATAATTAGTTCCTTGTTGCTTTTTTGTTGTACCAGATCTCCAAATTTAGCAGTTATAAGGAAATTCTCCTCATTTTTTTTTTTTAAAATTTCTATATGGTAAAGTTAGAGAAATATTTTAAACTCAGAATTTAACGATCCATTTTACTATCTTTGCATTAATTGATATATTATTAAAATTGATGTTTAAAGATTACAAATTCAAAAAATTTTATGCGTTTAATGTTTAATTCAGTGAAATAAGTAGTGAGATAAGAAAGTTAAAGGTAAATTAGAAGTTAAGAAAAAAACAATTGATTCATGTATTTATTTTAAAGTGACATCCTATAAATTTAATTTTTGAATCTTAACACTTATAATATTTTTTTTATATCAACATTGAACTCTTATTCACCAAAAGGAGTCAAGAAATATGTTTCCTTTTAATATTATTTACAACTTTTTTCTGCTTTAATATGTTAATGTAATTTAAAAATATTAGATCATGCTTTACTCAAAAAAAAAAAAAAAAACAGAATAAGTTTTGTTTTATCTATATTAACCTTTTCTTTCCTCATGCTGATTTTCGACAACTTAAAATTAAGATGGCCTACCATATTTATCTCCATTCTTAGATACATTGTCAATTAAAAATACTCAGCCACAGTTCTTGATCCTGCAACTACTTTTCAACGGGGATAACAATTACCATGGTAATTTGAGTTGACAATCACAAACATGTGACAATAAAAAATTAAAAAAACAAGAAAACTGGAGAAAAAAGTGAAGATTAAACTGAAAACTACTAGTAGCATGACTAGATGAACAGATTATTTACCTTGTTTTCAAACATTTGGGCAAATCAATCATATTTAAATATATCAGTGCTAAGTGCACCTTTCTTCTTCTTCTTCTTTTAAGTCTTCTTAGTTTCATTATCATCAGTGCTTTCTTTTCATTTTCAGCTTCTTCATTCTCCAAGTTCCGCTCTGCAAGATTTTGATTGACCTTAACCTTTGGTAGTTTCCTCTTAATCTGTGGTAAAAAGAAAAGAAGAATATAAGCCTCATCAACCGAATGTAGATTACCTAACTCTGAATTGATTTATAACAGTTGTATCAGTGAGGAAGCTTGAGGAGATCTCAAGATCTCTTTCTTTAAAGGATGCAGTAACTAAACAAAAAAGGAGTTTTAACAGCATTTTAACAGAACTCCTAAGCTTTCATTTGCCACCATGTTTTTACATATAGACAGAACCGTGATACATCTTTAGTAGTCAAGAAAGAAGAAAGAGACAGTTTATAATATTTGCAAATCTTGACTCGCCAACAAATTAGTAAATGGCATTATATTTTCCAGCATCAATAATAATCACCTTTCCTGCCCCAGAAGTCAAGTTTTTGAAACAAAGCTATTCTTTGTATTAAGAAAAAATCTTATACCAAAGGCATTGTTTAGCTGGAGGATTTTCAAGTTTAAAATACTAGCAATGAACAATGTCAAGAAACATGGGTTGTTAAAAAGTTATGATAACTTAATCTGCAAGATAAATCATAATTTAATAGAATTAACTGCACTTTTCTAAGCAAATATAGTATAACCAGTCTTTTAACATCCATGATATAAAGAATGCATCACTTGATACATCATAAACCAGCAAGAAGCAACAAAACATATTCCTATCTCAATATATATGAAAGCTGCAATTAAGCCCATAAAAGGTAACGAAGTAACAAAATAAATCTTAAAATGTTTCATCTCTCAATTAGCTTCCATCCCATCAGCATTAATTGGTATTTCTATTAAGGTTTCTTAGGGCATTAACTTATAATTTCCAAAATTTTTACTTTGGGCACATGCAGGAGCTCTATATCTCAAACCTAAGGGCTTATGGAATAAGTCAAGGCAAAATAACAATGGGAGCAAAATTTAAAAGAGGAAACTAGCCACTAAAACTCCAAGCCCAGCCACACAAATGAAAACATTTGTAAAATTGATATAGGTATTTTTCCTCCACTGATGTTGTCCTAATTTTTCAACTCGCAGCTTATTAATTACATATCTACTTCATATGTTGGGGACAGTGAAGCCATAAAAGCACAGAAAAGAATTAATACAAGAAAATGATGAGTCATGACCACATTATGAATCCAACAAAATCCATTATCAAAAGTAAAAATGCCTTAAAATTTATCTAACCTAAAAAACACAATGCCAAGTCAAAATTCTGCTACTAGACAATTACAATACCCACAAAATAATACATGTTCTAGCACCGTGAACATTTCCCCTCCTCCCCCTCTTCTTTTCTGATTTATTTTCTCTTTCCAAGCTTTATAAAATACCCAAATAAGAAAACTCATTTGAGGAATGAAAATACTGACCATAATAAGATTGCAGTGTTCAGCCTCCAGTTTCTCTTGTTTTTGCTGCTCTAAGTACGTTTCATAAGCAAAAGGATCTGCCAATGCTTGTGCCTGCAAATATATGTGAAAGATAAAGATTAAACAGCAAAGCAATGATAGGAGTGGCGCAACATTACCAAATTGAGCATGAAAAACCACGATGTGTGCAGCAAATAGTATATTAACACAAAATAGTCCCTTTTCTCTTTCCAGAATTTATTCTGGCAACTCTGACTTCATTTGTGCTTTCTGCATCTTAACTTTTCTGTGCTCCTCAATATTTCAAGTTTCAAACACCCAAACACAAATTTCCAGCAGGTGGCACAATGCAATTTTATAATAAGTTTTTAAACCGCATAATATCCTAAAAAAAAAAAAAAAGAGGAACAGCAGTCTCACCTTTTTTTACAACCGATAGTCAATAAAGAACCCACGCATGTAGGCTCGCAGAAGATTGGTCCCAATTAGATTTGTCAAATTCAACTTCTCAAGATCCTCTTTTATTAGAAATTTATAATTGTCATATATGCTTGATAGTCCACCCTCCTCAAGCTCTTCTTGTAAAATATACACAAAGTAAGCACCAGCACTATATCTACAGATCCTAATATAGTACATCTAATAAAAGTATAAAACAAAAAAATGATATAAGGATACGACTTAAAACACACCATTAGAGATTCCAACAAAGATCCAACGAAGAACACCACTTGGGAAAAGGTCCCAAAGCACGTATGAAATAAGCAGGTATCTGGCTACCGTCCAAAGCCAGTACCATCAGCCCACTCTCTTTCAACACACGGATATCAATGATTGTTCCGGCTGCTGGTTCAATGCTGGTCATACCTTCTCCCTTGACAAAAGAAAATAACTCAAAAGTTAGATATGAGTTTTGAAATTGATGCAGACAGTTTTCCACTACTACTGAGGATATATTACATACACCAAAAACACATTAGATTTATATGGTTGTACATTAACATGCTTTTGTACTCCAAGTCGTCAATGTGTGCACAATGAATTCATCGGCCTCTTACGTCCCCGAAAGAAAAAACAATTCATATGCATGTATGTAGGCAAGCATCATATCCATATATGTACACCTGTGTGCATGTAAGATTGCATGCATATAACAATTCCAGAGAACAGTGATATACCTCCAATAACTGAAAAACAATAATTATGATAGCGTTACCGCCAATGGCAATAATGATCTGAAGAATTAATACACTGACAAAGGGGTTTTTTGGTACATATGATATTTGGCTCTACAATGAAAGATAGTCCTCTCTCATTTCATAAATCCCAACGTGCCCATCCCATAGAAGTTCTAATTGCCACTGTACCCCTTCGAGAGATGATATAAGGAGATTTGTGGGGATGTTAATGAAATTTCAATTTTATCAAGGGCACTTACCTTAGTAAGCCCCTAACAATTTACAAACATAACTAAAAAAAGGTTATAAATTTCAAGAGGATACTATTTATAGATAGCTATTTTTTAACAGAGTCAAACAATTTTGATTTCTCTTACATTAACATGATGTACTTGTTCGATAAAGCTTGTACCAATGGATGAACCAAACTGCCATAAAAGGAGACATCATAAAAATATACATCAAATTGTATCATCTAAACAACAAAAGATGAACAAATCACCATGACGTTAAATTAGAGATTAGAAAATTTATCCACCATTACTATAAATAATACAAGTAGGTTCAAAATAAAGCATGATAAATATAGATCCTAAACTTGAAAGTAATTAAACAATACCATCATCTTTTACAAAACATGGACAAATGGAAAGTTTTGAACAGACAGAAACACACATGAAAATGCATAGACATGTATTTGTGCGTATATCTAGATGAGATATGAATTTCCTGAAGAACAGGGAGGATAATTACCGTCTCAGGATCCCAAAGTTTAACAATGTCTATCTGCAGTAATTAATTTTTGTCGCTCAAAGTTCAGAGTACTGTGCCACTTAATATCCAATATTGGGCAGCCATACCCGTATAACAGTGATACAGTTTCCAAAAATTAATAACTGAATCAAGGAAAATTGAGCTCACTAGTGCAAGAAGACTTCACACACGTACCCACCCATAATTTCCTCACCAGGAGGGGGAAATAGAAATGTTAATAAGTACCCTCACTTACATGTGATCCTTAGCTTGGATAGGTGATGAAGCCGTAAGTCATGAATCAGCACTTGCACATGATGAAACCCCATGAGATATTTAAGGTGATATAACAAAAATATAAAGAAATGCAGGCATGATGAGATCAATTATCACTACTAATGCATCATGCCTTTCCTGCACTACTTACAGCACCTATGAGAAAACCTCCATTCTCATCAAACTCTATTGCAATGACTTCCTATAAATCAAGCAGTAGCAATATGAGTTTTAAATGTGAAAGAACATAATAGGAATCCAGACAGTATCAACTGCAGGAAACACATTAGGCTGCGACATGGATCTCTGTAGTGATATGCAGAACAAATACCAAAAAGTCAACTTGTGGAAAAACTGAGAGTATATAGAAAACTTCTATGCAGAATTATATAAGCGCCATAGGTTTACATATAGCTAACTAGAGGGTAAATGAGGAAACTAAATCTTCCTAAAATTGATCCCATAATTAGGGGATTGTCTATCCTAATTTTCTCTCTATAATTCTAGGGATACAAATATATACAGATCACAACCAGCTGTAATTAAGTGTTTTCCCACACTCCCCCTCAAGTTGGTGAATAGGTGTTTTCCATTCCTAGCTTGGAAATCATTTCTTGAAAATGTTGCACTGCTGAGAGCTTTAGTCAATACATCTGCAAGTTAACCCTTGGTTTATGCATACGATGTGTAAATCAACCCATTGTCTAGTTTCTCCTCTATGAAGTGTCAGTCAACTTCAATGTGTTTTGTTTTTTCATGTTACACAGGATTGTGTGCAATGCTTATTGCAGACTTGTTATCACAGTAGAGTCTTATTGGTCCATCCCACTTGATCTTTAAGTCTTCTAGGATAATCTTTAACCATAATAGTTCACAAATTCCTTGAGCCATTGCTCTAAACTTTGCTTCAGCACTTGATCTTGCCACCACATTCTGTTTTTTCCTCCCCAAGTTACAAGATTACCACCTAGGAAAGTGCAGTAAACTGAGGTAAATCTTCTATCAATTACTGAACCTGTATAATCAGCATTTTTATATGCCTCTAATACCATTATTTCCAAACTCACCACATCAAAGATGATAGCCCTAAACAAAATCATGTTCTCTCAGCCAAACTTCCTTTCCAAGCATAAAACAAACATATCCCTGTAAGCTAATTCACTAAAGCAACTCATAAAAAAATACACTGAATAAAGCTCCTACTACAAAATAAATTAAAAGAAGGTTCACCATCTCTTCAATATTGAAGACGCATCAGTTAACAATAATCAATTTCCTCCCAAAAATTATCCAGGACCGCAAACAATTATATAGGCAGTATAATCCCCCATCCACAAAATAAACAAACTCACAAACTCTTTAAAAATAGATCATAAGTTCTTATCAAGGATGACAAAAAAATTTGTTTGAATTTTCTTTATTGTGCATTTGATTTGACATTCAATAAAGCAATTTTCTGTCGACAAATATCTATAGTTTCTCCTTGCAAAACTTCAACCCAATTACCAATATTTCTTCAAAGGAAAATCCACAAACATTAATTGAGAAAAATGGCTGTTAATATGGTTCTGTTCAATATACAACAAAAATAAACTTATTGGCTAAATCAAAAGTGACTAGTTGTGCAACAGTATGCTTGGATCTTTACAAGATAATTGTAATTCTATTGCAAATCAAAAGTTGATAGAAATCTCAAATATCAAATAAGGGCAAAAAGAGATGATAAAGGGATATACCACTCAATAAAAAATCTCAATGATATACCTGTTCTAAATTAATTTTGTATAGATCTGGAGACGAAGCAGCACAAAGCAAGTCACAGGACCAGCAATCATATGTAATATCCCTTCCCATCCTGTCAAGCATCAGATGGACAAGATAACATCATTAAAAAGTTATATAATTAGTTAACTAGTCAGTAAATACCATGTGTGATAAAGGTCAAAGCAAATAACATCTGGAACAACAACTAACCACAACTTCTGCAAGGATGACAAGTGTAAGCAAACATATAAAGGAAAAGGTTTACAATTAAGGGGAACTCTTCAAAAATGATCCAATAATTAGCAATTGTCATGCATAAGTAAAGGTCAAAGAGGATACATATATCCTGAACAATAAGTAACGACAACTTCTACTGTAAGGATAATGAGCGTAAAAATATAGAAAGGAAGTGAATTGCAATTGCAAAGACCCTTTTAGGTAGTATAACTTCAATTTCTTATTCAACAATCAGTCTTGATAGACATTGAGCAAAGAAAACATTATGTACATAGGGAGGGTAAATTGCACAAGCAGTTTTAACCATTCAAGTTGGTTGTGTTTGAATTCCTAATTTTTAAATTGTTCCAATTGAATCTTCAACCTTATTATTATTGCAACATTGATCCCATAAATTTGGTCAATCAAGACCAACAGATTTTCACCGGCATGACAAGTCAAAACTTAATTGGCACGTTTCTATCATTTTTTTTTTTCGTTTTTCTTTATTTTTTCCTTTTGATTTCTATTTTTCTTCATTTTTCCCTTTCATTCCCATTGGTGCAGAAGGGGAAAAGATGAGGCAGATTCCGTTAGAAAACATTTTTCCCAAATAAACATAAAATAGCAATAATAACATCCTTAAAATTGGAATACAAATGAGTTGTGCCAGGAGCTAATTATAAAATATATTGATCACTAAAACTCAACCATTGATCTAGAATGAAAAAGTATGTGCAACAGATGGTCTGTGACAAAATTTAATTCAAAAAACAAACAGAGCAAAAGCAAAAACTAAAACACTACAAGACTTTGAAATCCACAGACTGTAGTGCTTCCCATATTTTACATGTAGATTAACAGAACAATCAGCACATAGGAATGCAAGTTTTGAATAGTCATCAGCTAAAACCTATATATATATATAATATATATATATATATATATACATCAAAATGCCAAATCAAAATGTACCACACGAGAAAATTGTGAGCAAGGGTAAGGAGATATTCATTTTTTGATACGTATGTAAATTAGGTGTAATATGAGTTTCAGCACTTAAAGTTTGAAAGAAGGAACCCAATGAAACTCAGGGAAAAAGAGAGAAGAATTGTATTGCATTTATATGAAGCACCCAGGCTTAACCAATCTACAAAGAGATGGGTCAACAAATTAGAAGAAAAAAACAATTGATTAACATGATGCTGAAGATACAACAGTGGTTCCAATATTGAAGCATATGACACCTTATAAAAAATTAAACAATTGCCAAGAAAACTTTACACTATTTCCATCCATATTTGGTGTCCTACCAAAATTGCAAAGAAGTTTTACCCTTTTAATCAGAAAATAGTTCATGCCACCAAAAAAGTTGGAATCAAATGCCTTATCATGGATAGATATATTTAAAGTTTCTTCCTCAGTTTTTTAAGAAACAAACAATTATTTCGAAATGGTTTAGTTGATTGTTGTTTTTGAGGACAAACATCATAAAAAGCAAAGAGGAAGCCTATATTGGAATGAAGGTTGTAACTACATTAAATAAGGCACAAAAAGGAGATTCTGGAGGAGTGAGAAAGAGAATTCTTATCTATTCCAAGAATTAGCAGCAAATGGTATTATTTTCCCTTACATAATAAACAGGTTTTAGTATCATATATAAATTGAAAAAAAGTGTTTTTTACAATTAATTAAAATTTGAAATTAAGAAAAAAAGTCACATGTGCAACAAATGCAGCAGCCAAGAGTTTTAAATTACTGCAAAAATGAGTGATAAACAAAGAGAAATACCTGAAAATCGATTATTTCCGAATTCAGGCGCCTCTCAAACTTCATTGAAAATTGCCTAAGTTGATATACTTTCACTTGTGGAGGATATATACCTGAATGCCGACAGAAACACTATTACCAGGCATGAATTTCACAAATAATAAAAAAGAAAGGGAAAACATAAAATATGAAAGCACAAGTATAATTAACCTGACACAATAAGGAACTCCCCATCAGGAGTTATCTTGATTTTCGAATTTCAAATCTTGAATCAACTCTACCCCTTCCTTGTAATCTAAGCAAATACAAAGGGCAAATGTCTCAAAACAACATTAAAAATTTTTTTTTGGGTGGATAGTTTCATTTCACACAAAGTAAAAGACTAAAGATCTTTGGGGAGGGAGCGTTGCTTCTTGGAGGGAGTCAAGCAGCAATGGAGCACCGGTGGGAAGAAATTGTATACATCTTCATCCCGTTATCGGAAACGGACTTAATAACTGCCAAGGCAGTTTTCTTAAGCGTCCAAAGTAGTTGTTGCCGTTGGTTCACGGACAACCCATCAATGGGCAATATTGAATTATTGAATGATGAAAAGTTCTTTTTTTACCAAGAAAAACAATAAAAAAATTATTTAAATAAGGTATTATATCTTTTTTTTTTTAAATTATGACATTTCTAATTTGATTGCAGTGAGTCCTAATTCATATATTAAGCAATTTACAACAAATAAAGTAAATATGTAATGTAAAATAGAAAAAGCAAAGAAATCCATAAATCAAAAGTAAATTTCCTGTTCTTATATATTTATTAGAATCATGAGACGCTATGTTACTCTGTAATTTGGTTAGGCTAATTGCAAAAGGTTGAAGCAGAAAATACAAAATACAAAATACAAAATGGAGGCAAGAAACAGGTAAGCCATTGGTGATAACTTGAAGACGTACAGAAGTTTGATCAGATGCCAAGCTAGTGTTGAGCCTAATCATAGAGAATTGTTACTAATGGATTTTGAAAATTGAAAGTTTTTTATGATAGAATTTGGGGTTTCAGTTGCAAAACAAAGGAGGATGTCTGCATTAGCTGCACGAGGAAGAAAAAAAATATTGACGGCCAGGTGAAATGAACAGAGTTGATTGTTGGTAATTAATTAAACAAATGCCAAAGTTTAATTGGGGAACATAATTTTTATTTTTAGAAATATAATGTAATTAAAAATAATAAATAAAACAAAAATGATTAATTTATTAAAATTTAATTACTTTATATTATCTTTCCAATTGCTTTCCTTTACCACTATTTTTTAAATTATATTTAAAAATTAAAAACCATTTCCTTATTCTTTTACTCATAATAATATAGTGAAAAGTAATTAAATAGATAAATAATAACTTTAAAAAATTCATAAATTTTAAAAAATTAATAATAAATCTGTAAAGCTAATTATAACACACGGAATCATCCAACTAAAGTAAAAATAATAATAATTAATGTGAACAAATACAATTGTATGAAATATCAATGACTTATTAATAATAATTTAATAATAAATAAATGAAATATTAAAAATAAATATTAAATATCAGCCAAAATAAAATTATTAATAATTTTTCATCATAAAAGTTAATTTTATATTTAATACAACATAATTTCATGCTAATGACTTTCAAATCATTTAATTTGTATATTTTAATTTTTTTTATAATTTAATTATATGTATTTGATTTTAGAAGTTGCAAATTGAACATAAATAACTTAGTGTTATACTCAGAATGATTCGAAATTTAAACTTAAATAATCCAAAATCAAAACTATTGAAGACCAAAATGATTCTAACTTGAATTAATCCAAGATCAAAACAATCTAAACTCAAATTGATTTGAACCTAAAATTATCTGATTTTCCCTTTAACTTAAAATAATCCAACCCAAATCTGACCTGATTTATTTATTTATCACTTCTAATGACTTGTATTCTTTAAATACATATTGTTCATACTTTTTATTATTGATTTTATTTTTTCACTATAATAATTAATCTCATTTTCCTTATTATTTTTAAGGTTAATATTATTAATGATCGTTAAATTATAATAAAATGTTTAATGTGATATTTGAACTTTAAAATTTTTTAATATAGTACTTGAATCATGAACCTGTTAACTAATATGATATTAACTCTTAATATAGCTAACTTCAAATGATAAATAAAAAAATCTTCTAAATATCACATTTATTATAATTTAAAATTCATTCATGACATTTTAAAATTAACATATATTTTTAATCTCATCGTTCATCCAACTAAATTGAAATCGTAGCATAGTGAGAATGAAGAGTGGGGAATATGGGATCAAGCTGTGGTGGTTGTGTCTAATCTTTTTCTTTGAATATTTTGGTCCTAAACGGCTTGTATTTGTATTTATAAGGGATGGATCCTACTTCTACACTCATTTTTTTTGTTTTCAAACCAACAATAATACAGACTCTGTGGTTCATTTCTATTCTTAAAAATGCTTATGTGCTCCTAAAATCATTGTCAGCTTCAATTTCATAATCTATTCCATCTGTTTTTTTAGTAATCAAATTAATTTCTATCTAATTTCAACAAAGGTATGCATTTCAATCCCTAGCCTTTGCCACCATATACAAACCATAAATAATCAGCAATTTTTTCCTCTTTTCTTTCTCCTAACTTGGAGTATAAAAAACAATAAAAAATTTTAATGGTAAAATTATTTTTCTCAAAAACTATTAAAAGTAAAAATAGTATCATATTCGACCAAATTAAGCAAATATTTTGGAATTTAACATATTTTTCAAGCATCATTATTTTTTATAAATGTGAAAATCATGCGTTCATTATCAGCAAATGTTGAAAATGAATTATAAATATTGAAATTTAAACTAACTGATGTTATGTCTTAATATTTCTCTACTAATGAGGACTTACACATTCCATGGGCTATAGGCTATTGCATTATTCATAATTCATTAAGCAATTAATTACATCAAATTTGATCCAAAAATAATTGAGAGCAGGCTTTCATTTATAGCCAGTTTTACGCTTTCGAGCTTTAACCAAAGTTGATGATTCAACATCTAATACTAACATGTAAAGAATTCACAATTGCAACTACAAGGCCATGCAAAACATGTTCTTTGTCACCTCGACAAACAACTTTTATTAGTAAAATTTGAATTTTCATGATCAACATTTGAGTTTATTTTAGCAAAAAGGGGATAGATTTTTGTCAATTAGAAAAATGATTGTTTTGGGAGGCTAATCCATAAACAAAAGGTAGTATTTTCTAACTTTTCTAAGTTTTTCTAAAAAGCTAATGGCTATTCATAAGAGTATTCATTTCATCTGTGCTTTCAAACATTTTATAATTTCTAGCTTTTTACATACTTGAGCACAAGAAAGCTAAGAGCAAGGATTTGTCCATACCTTTACTTTTTAGTCATGAATTGTATTTGATTTTGCCACCACATTACAAGAGAAGAGGTTGGAATTTGATTCACACTTAACGTTGGGGTCAGCCTAGAAATGTCTATATACCATATTCAGATTGGTTGGGTCAGATTGACACTTCAAAATACTTATCCAAAATTTGACTCATTTCATTTATTAAAGTCCATTTTAACCTATCAAATATGTTAGCATATGGTGACAAAATGTGAGAAAATATTTTATTTTTCAAACGAAGAATGTATAAAAATATATATGAAAAACCTAAGCTATAAAAGGAAACTCTACTAAGACTAAAGACCTAATCTTTATAAATAAAGGACAATAACTACCAAAATACACATTTTGATTATAAAGATATGTTAGAGAAATAAATATGGTGTTAATTGTAGGTTTAAAGGAAAGTCACAATGTGAGAGAATTTTGCTTTAAGGGATGCAACAAATACCACTTTTTTTATGTATATTTTATTCTTTATGTATATTTTACACAGCAAGCTAACAGAAAAGCCTATAAGACATAATGAAACCCTTGTTTGATATCACTTTGCACTAATAATATCAAACCACTAAACACCATTTTATAAGTGGCAAAATCATCTTTCAAATCTAGAAATGAGAAAAAAATAATACAACAAGAGTTTCACTTAAATGTTTCATTAACTCTTCTAAAATGTATCTTATCATCTTTACTTATATAAGTTTGATCAAAGGGTTATATCCCTTAAATTGAATTATTTCATTCGACCAATCACATTATTTACTTAAAAACACATCTATTTGAATAATTATGAATAATTAGAACATATTATTCATCGTTTATTAATAAAAAATCACATAAGAATGATTATGACCCATTCCAAGAGAAACCATTTTCCTTTTTATAGAAATCATGATTTTTGAGCTAGAACACTTTACCAAAGTTTAATAGTACTATTAGCTATGTTAAAAGAATATATTGATTAAGTATACCCATAACTAATATATCTTTCACTATTTTGAAAATATTTCCAACATGATATATACATATTGTTAATATGCATTTTCTCTTTAATCTTTTAAGCTATAAAAACCTTCATAGCCTATTCATATCATGACTTAACAACAATATGTGATCCCCTAATTTTGTTTGTAAACCAAAGCTTTCATACTAGTAAACCTACCAAACCAAACCATAAAAGATTGTTTTATGTCATAAGTGCCTTTTTCAATGTGCACACAATTTTCAACTAGGTGTAGGTGTTTTGTTTTTTCAATCATCCACCTAACTTTCATTGCTTCTCATTATTATTTTCCAATGTTTAATGATAGTTTTTGGAATAAATATATGATAGATTAAAAACTCCTTATGGATCACTAAATAACTTTTCATAGGACATAAAGTGAGACAATAGATTTTACATGCCATTGGGTGCACTTCTATCAAACTTTCTAATTGCAATAGGAAGATTATAATCAACAACAAAAAAATAAATTACTTTCAAATCTTTAAAATAGAAAGTTATCTCAATATTATTAGCAACGCTTGGTTTTAAATCAAGAATTTACGTTGTTTGAATAAGAGTTTTTTTCCTTCTTGATGATACTTAATACATGCAATAGGTTAGTAGCAACATCAATTTGTTTATATTTTTGTTGGATATTCATCTATACAAAAAAGGTATAAATATCGTTGAATTTTACTTTTGATAATGGATTTTGTTGGATTCATAATGTGGTCATGACTCATCATTTTCTTGTATTAATTCTTTTCTGTGCTTTTAATGGCTTCACTGTCCCAACATATGAAGTAGATATGTAATTAATAAGCTGCGAGTTGAAAATTAGGACAACATCAGTGGAGGAAAAATACCTATATCAATTTTACAAATGTTTTCATTTGTGTGGCTGGGCTTGGAGTTTTAGTGGCTAGTTTCCTCTTTTAAATTTTGCTCCCATTGTTATTTTGCCTTGACTTATTCCATAAGCCCTTAGGTTTGAGATATAGAGCTCCTGCATGTGCCCAAAGTAAAAATTTTGGAAATTATAAGTTACGCACCCGATAATGCCCTAAGAAACCTTAATAGAAATACCAATTAATGCTGATGGGATGGAAGCTAATTGAGAGATGAAACATTTTAAGATTTATTTTGTTACTTCGTTACCTTTTATGGGCTTAATTGCAGCTTTCATATATATTGAGATAGGAATATGTTTTGTTGCTTCTTGCTGGTTTATGATGTATCAAGTGATGCATTCTTTATATCATGGATGTTAAAAGACTGGTTATACTATATTTGCTTAGAAAAGTGCAGTTAATTCTATTAAATTATGATTTATCTTGCAGATTAAGTTATCATAACTTTTTAACAACCCATGTTTCTTGACATTGTTCATTGCTAGTATTTTAAACTTGAAAATCCTCCAGCTAAACAATGCCTTTGGTATAAGATTTTTTCTTAATACAAAGAATAGCTTTGTTTCAAAAACTTGACTTCTGGGGCAGGAAAGGTGATTGCTATTGATGCTGGAAAATATAATGCCATTTACTAATTTGTTGGCGAGTAAAGATTTGCAAATATTATAAACTGTCTCTTTCTTCTTTCTTGACTACTAAAGATGTATCACTGTTCTGTCTATATGTAAAAAC